CCCCCGCGAGGTCCTGTACAGATTCTCACGATTGCGCAACAATAGGAGAAGAGGACCGAAGACTGCCGTGTACGGGGCACACCGTTATATATCGCGTGGACGACGCGACTCTCGAATCCCTCGGACCATATGATCGACAAAGAAACTGCGTATCGCGCAACAGCTGATCGAAGACGGCTTTTGTGAGTATACCTACCTACGTATGATATTATTATGTGTGTTTGGTGTTGTGCCGAAAAATAATGCGTTCCCAGCCCGAAAAGTCTTTTCTCCGCGTGAGATCCAATACGCCCCGGGTCGCACAAAAACGCATATTATTATTATTATTTTATTCGCATAATAACAATATACAGGGCGAAAAATGCTAATCAGATACGAGATGCGGTTTCGGGGGACAAGCGTTCGGTTTTTGTGTTCAAAACCACAGGTTTTTTTTCCGAGAAAACGACATAATATATAATGCTGGGTGTGCACTGTCCAACAATATGCCACGACCGATCGGTAATAAAACAGGTACTAAATAAGCATAATACGACACAGAGTCGTCCGATGATTTTGGACTTCACGAGCACGCGAATTTCTAATCATAGTATAGTTTCAAAATTTGTCGTACGGGATAACGGAAACTTTCCTGTCATTCGCAACCAGTGTACTATGATATATTATATTATTGTATGGATAAACCGCACGCTATTATATTCGTACGCGGAGCGATTTACGATACGCGAAAAGGGTCTTGAAAGGATTACAATGAAACCATCGGATCGCATCGATATTCGTATAAGAATAGGGTTGTTGCCCCGATTACAAACGGGTGTTGTAGTAAAGGGTTGCTGCAGAAGGATCAATATATGTATAATATAGTGCACCCGGGGTTGAAGCGGACCATCACATTTGGCGCCATTATTGGTTTGACGGAAAAAAGGTGTTTTTATTGAAATGATTTCTTTTATAAGATGAAAAGGGTCACGAAGATCGACGACGGCAATGTCTACACAGTTAACCCGTTTCAATGATTATTGACAATCACATTGAAAATCACGAATCACAATTTGTAATAAACTATATATTATTATACAACTATATTTATTTAATACATGAATAATGATATAAACAGATAAATGTGCATTTTAATTGGATCGCATAAATTAACGCGACTGTACTAAAAAAAAATGTAAAATCGAACATTAAAATATTTCCAACTGCGCGATATTTATAAAACCGGTGAAAAAAAATGTATAGGTAATCAATAGCTACAGAGAACTGCAGCACAAGCCAATGTCGAACATTTAGTTTTTTCCCTACATAACATCGGGTGTTATTCTGGCACAGCTGCTAGCAATACGTTTCACGCCGAGAAACTACAGCCTAAATATAAATCCACGGCGAGCACATTGATATTCGTACCACAAGTCACAACAACTACCTATTGCTGGGTAATATTATAATATAACAACATAGTACACTACAAGTAGTCTAGTCGGATGAATGATATTATATTATATTGTTATAACAGCGACGACGGTGTTGATAATTATATCTATTTATTGTTTTATTCAAAGGGCCAAATAGGAGTTTAATCGATACACCATTAAATAATTACAATTAACAGCACACAACGTATAGGTAAATGCAGGTGTCTAGTATTATGCATTATGCAAGCAACAATCAAATGAATTTAAAACCTACAATTTGTATCTAACCTGTGAACTCTAAAAATTACCGTACATAAATATTAATAATAATAACAATTCTAATCACTGAAAAGGAATACGTTTTCTTGAGAAACAAATAGTATTATAATAATAATTATTATTTATGAATTTCATTATAGATTCGACGAACCAAGGATAATATATTATACTGTGCAACAATAATTCTGCGTATTTAGTATAAATATAATTAAATTGTATACTATAGACAATTATGTCGTTTTTTGTTTGTATACAATTATAATTTATAGCATAAACCCAAGCCATAAATAGGAATATTACTAGCTATTTAATATTTGCTATAATAATAATCGATCAGAGATAATACGTGAACATAATATTATACAATATTATAATATAATATAAGACATTATACACGTACTCATAATAATATATAATAATTTCAGTGATATGTTCTTTTAATAAGAACGAATCATTTCTATTAAGTAATTTTCATAAATCTACGAGCTGTAGCAATAAAGCGTTAATAAATTATTACATTTAGGCATACTCAATTTTATAAATGTATATCAGTAGATGTACCTACTTGAATAATTTTTTGATTTTTACAACCAATTCAATCCTAAGGACTTAATAATAAATATATATAATATTATTGTAATCCTAGTTCAACTGTCAAATTGCATAAAATATAATTTCCAAATCCAAATGTTTAATTTCAGTAAAAGAAAATGACGCCTAGAATCCTATACTGTACAACAAGTGTAAATATATTATCTCAATCATGGATCTCGAACACATTCATCCTATATCAGCAAATAAATACCATTATATTATGTTATTATGCCGGTACTTTTATGTTCCTTGCTAGTTGCTCGAGTCGATTATTAAAGTCTAGATAAACCTGCACATATCGTGCCCAAGTATCGAGGTTGTTACATCGAAAGCGTGACTGAGAACACCAAAAACCGGAATATTCGTCTATGAAAAAATATATTTTCTTATTTAATCATCAACGAAAGACCGTGACGAAGGCGGTGTAGGAATACTTGTTATATAACGTATTAATTAAAAGCAATTTTATAAAATAAATTTCAGCTTGAACAATTGTCCGAAAGACTTACTATTGTCTATTATCATTATGTTATAAGTACTCTTATAGTTTTAAAAGAATATAGTTATTTTGGGCGGTGACCGTAGACCATACAGACCGGAACTTACCTGTCGAATTGTAAAACATTCAGCCTCCCCCCCCTCACACTGTACGAACGAAATAGGGGAATATTTTTTTGGTCTAAATCCTGTTCCGGTTGACGGGTCCCTTCGCATTTATACGGGCTTCGGGCATTACGATAAATAGAACAGCTGCAACGTGCACGCGGCCCCCTTGGTTTTTATTGCTCTAAACTGGATTTGTTTTTTCTTTTATACTCCGTACGAGGATAAGATAAAAGCAAAATGTGCACGCCTGCTGCAAACATAATCTGATATAATATAAAAACCAAAAAAACTGCAACAAAAATACAAAATACGAAGGTACGAAGTACTTCTGATTGGTTGCAGTGTTTTTCATTTAAATTTAAAGATACGCGTACGTGAGGTCGAATTTTAATTTTGAATTTATTTTAATTGAAAAAAATATATAGCTCAAAAAACAAACCAGTATTTATTTTTTTTATCAACGATTTTTGTGTAAAATGGAATTCTCTATAAAATAAGATTTAAAAATAAATATTACGGCAATAAATTACTTTTAATTTTCTACACCTACAACACGTAATGTGTACAGACTACAATATTTAAGTTATAGCATTGATTTTAGAATATTATACTCTATTTTAAAACCAATGGATAAAGGCTATAGCCTATTTGTATATTATTATAATGTTGTCACACAACAATTTAAATATTTCAAATATATTATAAGTAAAACTTAAAAAAATACTTTCTAGAAGTTTTTAAATAACTTTTAAAAACACAAATATTATTTAGATTTGAAATTGTGAGTGTATGTAGGAAATGTACTTCCATATGAAGTTAAAATATTTTATCTAATAAGGTAGTCGTTAGTAGTTACTTCTTAAGTTTTTAACCGAGAATTATAAAAACAAAACTTATTTTAGTACACAACATATTGAAAGAAAAGAAATTATGAATAAAGAGAAGTTACAGCGTTTTCCTATTTTTAGCCTTAAGGCAAAATGGAAAAACGGTGGTCCACATATAATATTGTTTTACTGTATTACTTTTGTTACATAAAATGTTGATCTTTTATCTAATGCAATATTCATAACCCGCTAAATCCATGATACTGATAAACGCAAAAAAAAAACGTTTTTTCATGTTTATTATTCATCAATATAGTTTTACAAAATGAAAACTGTTTATATTATACAATAGGTACCTACAAAATAATCGATTGTCGACGGATACGGTATAAATTACAAAAAGCCACTTAAAATAGTTAGAGCAGATGTACAGTATACACTAGTACACCCAACCCAGATGTACACCCACACAATACTGACCACTGGGTGACCAGTACCTTAATTCATTGCGGTAGGGCTTTACTCCAGAGTCTAGGGTATTAATACAATTTACAATGGACAACCGTGTCTCACCGTGGTACATTTTTCCCACAAAATATTACCTTATGGCAGATAGAGTAATGGTCAAAATATATAGTGTTGTAAAATGAACATTTGGTTGATATGCACTCAGCTTGCAATGCAAAACTATACTCGTAATAATCACTACGCCCATTTGACCGCATAATATTGTGAAACGTTTTAGATTCATAAAAATAGAAACCATATAGAAATAGTAACATAATTTCGGTATTAATAGTATAGACAATAATGAACTACAAACTACATATTCATCCGTTTATAATAAAAGTATTCGCCCTGCCTCACGAACCAATTCAAATTTCAAAGGCATATTATGAAACACGGGGAGGGGGAGTCTAGTTGTTTTTCATTCACTGATAAACGTAAATAGTACAAATGAAAATTATTATATTAATAGTTGTAGCCTATAGTATAATAATTAATAACTAATATTATGTTTCGAGTGTACTTCGTAATAACTTGAGTATGTCATTTTACTGGATGTGATATATGTATTTAAAAGATAAATCATTGAATAAAAAAATGATGTGGAGACGGTGTGTGGTATGTCACCTCTATTTCTAAGGATATTTTATTATTTATTTATATTAGATACTATTATTAATTTTTTTTTATATTTGTAATACAGTAAGTTGAACTCATTTTTGTCAAAAACATCCCTTATATTATATATTTATTATAATAGTATGATATCAATTATTCGTAGTATATGATTATTATTGACTTGAAAGTCAATAGTATTAGCATTGGTTATAAATAATACATATTACGTACCATAGAACGCCAATGGTGTAAATTATAGGTTCGTATCCTTGAAATTAGGTAATTAAAATATTATGAACATTAATTGTGTAAGTATCTTAGCAAATAATAACATATGTAATGGCAAAAAGTTTCAGTCCTTATGAATAGTACTTTTTTAAGTACACGTGCCCTATGCTATCTACAGTCGATTTATTGGTGTCGTATGCTATCTATATTATTAAAGTTATCTACACATTTTCCCATTCTATATTTAATACGTTACCAACTTCAAAACGATTGTATTCGTATAATATGTTGTGTCTTTTGGAATGTGTTTGGTGCTAAATAAACGATAAACGTGTTCGTTTTGGTATTTTTGTGTTTATTTGAGTTTTATGAAAATGAGTAATTTAGGTGATTTATACAGAAATATTATTTTTAACGACTAATCTTGTGTCAAATGTTTAAAAGAATGCGGGTTATTACCGAATTCAAATGTATGTATCAAATTAAATGCTACGGGTGAAGTGTGTGGTGGTGACATGAAAAAAACATTAAAAAATTGTCGAAAACGAAATGCAACCGGTCAATTAGTTAAAACCAAATACATGCGATGCCAAACAAGAGGTTGTCAAAAATGGCAATCAATACGTTCCCAAAATCCATTTTTTACCTACGTGGATAAAACTGGAAAAAATAAAAGTGGTTTGAGTTTATGTGAAATTATTGAACTTGTTTGGTGCTGGGTAAATAAATTTAAAGTCACACAAACAGAAAAAATAACTGGCAGAAGTCATCATGCAGTCTTAGATTGGTTCAATCTATGTCGAGACGTGGTGGCAGAACAGTTTAAAAAACGTGGAAAAATGGGTGGAAAAGAATTAATAGTACAAATAGACGAATCTATTTTTCAAGGGAAACGTAAGTACAACTGCAGAGGAAGACTTCGCCTTGGAGATTGTAAACCTGTTGATAATGAAGATGCTGATAGTAATACTTCCGATACTTCAGAGGATAATTCTAACAAAGAAAATCAAAACTATAATACTAATCGAAATTATGGCAGCCAAGTTCAAGGACCTTGGGTGTTTGGCATGTGCTGTTTGTGTGAAGATGGAATTTTAGAACGCCGTTTTTTTATAGTCAATAAGAGGGATCGAGACACATTATTACCAATAATAATTCAAAAAATAGAACCAGGAACAAAAGTTCATTCTGATGAGTGGAGAGCATACAGCAATTAAAAAAATCACGGTTTTCTTCACCAAACTGTTAACCATAGTAAGAACTTCATAGATCCGCATACAGGTACTCAAACTCAAACAATTGAGTGTTTATGGAGACACCTAAAGGTCAACTGCAATATAAGATCACGTGGTGCTGCAAACCTAATCGAAAGGGAATTACAGGAAGAATGGTGGTGTTCAGTCAATCCAACCAATACGTTCGGAAGTTTTTTGAGAGACATAAAAGATACATTTTTATAAATATACTATAATTTAAATGACAACTGCAAAACTACAAGCTCTAATAAAATTATTTAGGTAAGGTGACATTTTTTTACATTTTTTTCGCGTAGGTAGAACACGACACAAGTATTAATTTTTTGTAGATAGCATACGCCGGTAGATAGCATACGAAACGTGTACCCTTTTTTAAATTACCACGTAATAACTCATTAGACAATATTTTGTTTACAGTAAGGCACTTTAATTGTTGAGCTAAATTTTTATAAAGACTAATAAAAAAAAAAACTCTTAAGAGAAAAAAATCCTTATTTTTCATTTAAATAGGTACCCAATTTTGTCATCATTTGAAATTCAAACAATTATAAAAAAAAAATTGTTACTTTATGTACTTTTGTTAATTTTTAATTGCTGTAAGAACAACTTATGACTTATGAATTAATGATTACCTTGTATTAAATTGTAAACAAAAATAAAACATAATCCAATACATATGATACATATGATACATTTGTTCAGAATTTAAAAGAAAATGTCCTATCTTTGCCATACTGGATATTGCTAACTATAATGTACTTCAACTCTGAAGTCTGAATAAATGTTATAATAAGTTTTACTTAACTGTTATCTTTTAATAAATGGTACCTACAAAATCTAGGTAACAAAATATTTCATAGCGAATTAATAATTTATTATCAGCATTGTAAAAACCAGTATGTTCTATTTTAAGTAAGACGGTGTTTAAGAAGGTGTCAGTGCAGTATTTGTTCTCTATCCCTGACCCACGCTCAACATAGCAAATTTGAGTTCAGTGGAACCAACCTTGTGTTTTTAAACTTATTATCGCACTTGAAGTTAAGTATATTTAATATAATAGGTATATTTCTAACTGAGTTCTTATATTGGCCTTTTAGGACATATCTCTTTAAGATTGAAATATCGTAAAAAAATATAACGTAAAAACACAGATAATCTTAACTTTAAGTTTGTAAATAACTCAATTCACTCATTAGAGTATTCATTATAGTTTACAGAACAAAGTGGTTCTGCTGAAAACAAATTTGTTAAATTGAGCTTGGGTCGGAAAGAAAAAACTAATAGTGCGCTGACATCCTCTTAGGACTTTATTATTTCAACAGTTATTACAACAACCTTATATTATGAAACATTGAAAAGATTTATTACATCAAAATATATTGATATACCTATTATTAATTGTATACAATTATTTTTGACTAGTATTTATCTAATACAATAAATAAGTAAGTAATATACTATGGAAATAACATATATATTAATTTTAGATAAAACGTCAAAATGTTTAATTAAATAAGGCAATAATTAAAAATTAATCTAAATAATTACTTAGATCAAGTAACGTACTAATATACACACTTTAGAATTTATCATCCAAAAGTTGTTTTATATTTAATTTATACATTGTAATTATGCTTTTTAATAAAAAAATATTTTTTATAATTTTGTATTTTTCTACAAGACATTTATTACTTGGAATGTGTCATTGTGTCCTAGAAACCACCAATATTAGCACAAACTTAACTTAAATTTTCAAATTTCAAGTGGTTATATACTAAAACACGGTAAAAATGAATGGCCCGGATTGAGGCTTAATCAGTGTAGGCTACAGTTATGCTACAGCCAACAAACCTGTAACTGACCACCGATTTAGGGACATCACTTACGTCCATCCAGTGGTGGATCTAAGATTTTTTATTGGAGGATGCTACATTGCTATGTTGATAATAAAGCTGGTACTTATCAAGAACAACTAAGGGATAAAAACAAATGTAACCTACTTTTTGGTGGTAGTCTGCAATTAAAAGGTTTAGTTCTAAGTGATACCTGATATCTAAGTAATTTATAGTAAAAAAAAGGGCAATGAGCATCCCCCCTAAATCTGTCACTACGTCAATCCACGATGTTTTATACAAAATATAAATTATCTTTAAACTTTTATTGATTAAGTACAAGAATTAATGGTACTAATAAATAACATTGTATCCGTACTTAGGACCGCGTAGTTGACGTAACACCGTTTAATTGAAATTGCTTACATATGCTAGTATGTAGTATTGCTAGTTTTCCGTATTTAATTAAATACATTTTTAAAATAAAATAAATCCTATGAATCTAATAGTATTTTATTTTTGTTGTTTGTACCAAGTACGTATATTTCCAATAATTATTTTATTATTTAAATTCAAGTTGAATAGTAATGATGGGTTTTTCTATATTGTTTGAAAAATGTAAAAGCTCATAAGATAAATGTAGGTATAAACACAAACTTACTATTAAAAAAAAAATATACTTTGACCAGATTGTATTGCATTTGTTGTAATTCTTTCTTATTTCCAAAAAATGAAAAGAAATTATATTTCATTAAAGTTAAAGTCATAATGTTTTAGAAATCGTCAATAATTTGTTTTTATAAGTCGTAACACGAAATCCAATATTCAATATAAAACAAAAAAAAATATCATTAAATATAAACACTAATGGTAGTTTAAATATTACATTATAAATTGTAATATAATGAAATGTAGATATTAGATAAAATACAATCTACAAAATGATTCATAAATTACACACAACTATAAATGTATAGATAATAAAATATTATGATAGATTAAACACACAAAATGTTACTGTCAGCGATTGCAAATTTTGTTTTAGGAACATCCGGGTGTATAATAATTCAGCATTAAAAATACTTTTTTATCAACATTACATTACACCCAGCCATGTAAGCTGTAATCAGAGCGTCTCGTTATTGAAATATCTCACAGGCGTCAGGCACTAGCTATTTTGTCAGGATGTGTATAAAAACTATAAGCCATACAAATTACGCTTGTTTAATGATTGTTCACAGGCTAATGTGGTTAAAAATATTTTGGGAAAAAAACGTAGAGGCGAAAACAAATTGCTAAAGTAATACCTGCTGAACGGCCGCGGAGTCGATCGTTAATCGTTACTATACTATTATAAAACATTCTCGTTTCTCACCCATTCCTATAATAACTTTGAACTCGTGAAATTGTCTACGTCCCACAACAAAACACACGAACAAAATTGTAGTCTCTATATTATATTATTATATATACCTATTATATTATGAAATAATTGATCGTAAAAATCATCACGTAATCATCAGGAATATACGATTAACTAAACTTTTATCGACCCACCGATAATAAAATATTATAGAACTTCGGAAAACTTATGGAAACTCATTTATTTTGCTATCAAACTCATTATTTTTTTCGTTATTCGAGCTCGTGCGTGATTCCATAATTAGAACGCGAAACTCGACGGCAAATCGAGTGAGACAGAGAGCGCTCAGGCACACGGACACACACACGCATACACATTTCTTTCGAGTCATGGCCCCCTAAAAAACCCACGTGGTAAAAAACGTAATAATTATCAATAATAATCATCAACATCATCATCGTTATAATATATTTTAACAGTTGTAATTCACAAGAACGTACACACAGTGCACAGAGCAGCCTCCTCGACAAAGAACTTTAAACCGTGTGGGGGGCCCACCGGCACCGAGTTGGGTTGCTCCTCGCTCAACTTCGTCGAGACCCGCGCTGCCGTACAACAACAACAACAACAACAACAACAACAACAACAACAACAACAGTAATAATACAATACGTCCATACATGATATTATTATCACCACGGTATGATCGCAGAGTCTAGATTTGGTTCAAGTCCGCGCAACACGTCACTTGCTTACCCATATATTATCATAATAATATTACTATACGTCACGTGCTTACCGAAGGATCTGACCGTCAAAAAGTTCCGATCGTACCTCGTTGTTTAAAATGTCATGTAATAATAGTCGAGACATAACGTCGCGACGGCGACGGTTACTCGGCGACACACGTTCGAATTTCGCGAAAAATAAAATCTTTCGCACGAGCGGTGACATAATAACAATTCGGTGTCTCACCACGCGATGTCACAAGGATCAATAATCGATAAATAATTAATATAAACAATATTATCGTAATTATTACACCTAATGCGTAAGACACGCGGTTGACAAACCTCCGCCGGGCGCTTTGGTGTGGTAATAATTATATTATACATTTATACAGTAAGCATACAGTTTTCCTGTACGACCGTTTCGAGACCGACCGGACAAGCGTCGGAGAAATATCTGCAGGGGAAAATCGCATTGACCGGTGCTCAGACGTGGCCCGAGAAACGGGTAGGTAACCGAAACAACGCGCGTCGTCTAGTGACAATATTACAATATATTGTTGTTACTTTACCAATTATTGTGCTATAATAATAATAATATTATGAAATATTATCGATGACGACATGCGGCCGCTCTCACCTGATCTGTGGCTCTCCGTCTGTCCCATGTCGGCGGTGTCTGTGCGTGTCCCCCGAACGACGGCGATGCACACATTTATATGACGAAAGTGACGCGAAACGATCGAGGATGAAGGCACAGACTTGACGTGTGAATACTACGACTACGACTTATACTAATAATAGTAATAATAACAGTGATATTATAGTACCGGGTAGTATCACACCACTCGGCGGCCCCGATTGATAATGGTTCGACAGGGCGCACGGCAGGCGGATAGAGCGATGTCCGATGGGTACACACGAAAGTGTACAGCCCGCCGTCGTAGTTGGCCGTAAATAGCAATAGCAATCGTTATTGCGATAGAGTTCGGTGCCGCGTCGACGAAAACGGTCTAGCCGACCACAGTAAGTTGTAATAATAGCAATAAATAATTATTGCGGTTGATTATAATACACATCTCGACGGCACGGGCACGTCCTATCGTATTACGATATTATTATTATTATTATTATTATTATCGCTGATAAGCGGAGCGGCGTTAATTTGTTTTTTTCCTCGTCCCTCTGATAACCTCGGAGCGGCGAGTTATAGACTGACAGCGCCATCTAGCGACTGGCGACGGCGACACGTGACTTACGTCCGTTGTGTTGCCTAGACGCTTCGACGCTACGGCGACCGTACACCGACTGTCGACCCGCCTAAGCGCCGATCATAATATCGTTTTTTTATAATATTCATATAAAATCATCGCTTTTCGTCGAATGGCGAACGAACTATTTTATTTTTATTTTTCCGCAACTGTTTCTGCTAGTTTTTATTTTTAGTCTACGGTTGTGCGGCCAATCATTCGATGCTATATTTATTATCATAATAATAATAATACGCTAACCGAACGAATTGCACTGAAGTTTCGTTGCATCGAAAAAACAATACATTTTCGTTAACGATCGTAAATTGTAAACTATCATTATTACCATCATCGATTTCCAGTTTTAAATAGTGTACGCAGTAGTACAGACTGTACAGTACAATAATAATATAATAATATGGTTACACTCGATGTCTCAATTACTAAATTAGCAGTGAAGAATGCGGGTAATACATATTCGCCAAACACCGAAATACATTTAAATTTTGCGTTTAGGACGTTTTCAAACGATCGAAACGCGTTCTGGCAATCGTCCAATTGTCACAACGCGTTTTGGAAAAATACAAAGACCAAAAGCATAGCATGTTCTATAACAACTGAGAATGTCTTAAACTAAGCATATACTGATATTTTTTAACTATACTATACGAAAAGCTTATTGTTCACACATTTTTATAATAACAAAGTTTCTACTAGAATGTATAATATCTTTTAACCCGACTCAAATTTAACTACGATGTTTACTGTCTATCAGTCTTAGTCGATAAAAAATACCGAATAGGTTTTATTAATATATTAAAGTTCTACATAAATTATAGGCAGGTATATAAATGTATAATACTTATTACCTAGTTATATTTTTCGGCGAGTAGGGAATTAAAAAGTTTAAATTATTATATCATATCAACAGATAATTATTACTAAATGTATACAATATGTCTATGCAAAAAAAATACACAAAATAGTTATATAATAGTTGGTTTTTGTTTTTTAATTTTAAATCAAAGTAGTACTTATGTAATTTTTTTTTGAGTATATCTCCGTTAGGTGTATCTCGTAATAAGCATTTTAAATTTGGTCCACAATATTCTGATCATTACAAATTTCCTAAACTAGAATTTTGAAAATCCGATTTTATATTTTAAAAGCATTCTGATATTTAACAATTGACAGTAGATTATTAGTTATAACTTATAAGTGATTACCAACAATTGTTTAGTGTTGCTGTTTTATGCTAATATTTTATTAATACTATAATAGTATTACTATTAGCAGTGGTCAAAGTGGATCAAAATAAGTGGGGCGATGGCACAAATCCAGTTAATTCCTAAACTATGCTTTTTCATAAGCTCCAGTACAGTACAACAGTGATTGGTATTGTTCTGTACTGTTATCAGTGATTTGTGATAAGTGATATCCTGTTATAATATTGCAGATATTGGAAAATTATATATTAATTGACTGCCGTTAATTGACTTTTGGTATACAATGAATGTTACAATTTTAGAAAAAAAAATACACAAAAAAAAATAAGATTATGTAAAAAAATGCGTGAAAAAAAAAGTAGTCAATGTAGTTCACAAGAGACATAAATTATGAAAAAAGTTAATATTTCAATATCTAAAAGGCACAATGGAGGTAATTTTAAACAAAATAAGTAGGAGTTGGAAAATCACTGCTATAAATTAATTGACCCTGGGTAGTATACTCCACATTATCCACTGATTATTAGGTAATTATTCTTAATCCAAATTGATATACAACATTTATTTTATAATTTATAGAAAACTATATTTTGATTTTCAATCATGCGTTTTACCTTTCTGCAATACATTTAATTCACAAATAACCCCTTTTCATTAAAATATTAATAATAGATTTTATTATAAAAAGAATAGTTTATCAATAATTATATATTTAAAAATTAACTTATAAAATTAAATAAAACATAATAATTAAATAGCAAACATCTGACGAAATTTCAGATTAAAAATAGTCATTTGCTGAAGTCGATTTCATAATTGGCAGTTTAATGAGAACCGATTGACGCAGCTCTTGCTATTCCTTCTTCTATTCGTTTTTTATCACCCAAAAATTTTTTCGAAGACACAACGTTCATGTCATCATCAAATTCGTAAACGAATGGAATACCCGAAGGGATGTTTATTGAGCAAATATCATTATCTGATACTCCTAGGTTTTAAAAAAGTTAAACAGTAATAATTATTGTATTTAATATTTATCATATGAAAACAACAAATAATATTTACCATCTAAGTACTTGATAAGACTTCGCAAAACCGTACCATGGGCAACGATCAAAACACGTTGTCCTCGTTTAATATTAGGCACAATAAAGTTATCCCAATATGGTATAACTCTCTCCATCGTTTCTTTAAGTGATTCGGTAGATGGAAATTTTTCGCTTGAAGTGTATGAATGAGCCACGATTTTTGGATGGCACCAAATTGACATATAATATTCATGTGACTTGTCCATCACAGGTGGAAGAACGTCAAAACTTCGTCTCCAAATTTGTACCTAAAAATAACAACATAATTTGTTAATTACTCAAATTTATGTGTTATCAATTTATCATATACAGATGTAAACTTCTTGCGTACAGAATGTACCATATAAGTTTTTATAACCATATTTTAAACTAAAAAAATATTTCGGAATTGTACTGAAGCTAATTGTTGAAAGAGAAATATCTTCGAAACCTTTAGACATAGATATTTTGTAGGACTAACACATAAAATCAATAAATGATGGATCGTATAGCTAAAAAAATATTTATGCAAATAGAAACGATTTTTTAAAATTAATAGATGAAGTTTACAAGTATTTTATTTATTTTACGCACTTAAAATTTCTTAAATGAGTAGGTTAACCTGATGAGTAGGTATCTAGCTATCTGATGTTAATAACAAAATAAACCTTTATATTATTTTATCATTTAAAATTCAAAGAAAATTCAAATTAATTCAATACGTTGATAAAATTAGAATTATTTTTGTTTACGATTAACTTTATTCGTATATAATAATATAACAAATATTTAGTTTAAATAATATAACGTATTATAATCTTATCGTAAACATAAAATAGATTATAAATTCTCTAGATGTGGACACAACACCATAACAAACAAATTAATTAGCCGTCATTATTAATCAGTTATGCGTCATGTAAAAGTTAATTTTTGTACTCTCCTTAGTAAGTATATCTTAACACTTATTGATTCTGGGAGGAGTGATGAATGTTTTGGTTTTACAATGTTATTATGTTATTTTATTTTATTTTTTTTTTTTGTTATCACGTAATCAGTAAAAATACTCCAATCTTAAACATTGAAGATAATTTTTGATAGCAAAAGAATATGTATTTGGTATAATGGGGGTTAAGTAGAGTATAAACACCAATACATTTTTCAATAATTTGGAAAAGCTTAAAAAAAAAATACAGCAGTACAACGAGAATACTCACGCAACACCAGATTTTGACAAAAGCGAATTTTGTTATTTGGTTGCAATTATTCAAAAAATAATAACTTGAAAGTTTGAAGTTCAAATTTGGACAGAATTCTTTAAAATCACAAACAACCATGCAAATGGTTTTGTAGAAGTTAAATTTTAATCAAATTATTGATACCTAATTTCAGGCATAAAGGACCAGTGCGACTGTACTTAAAGGACGTAGGTACATAATTTATATTAAAAAAAAAAAAAGGTACATCAATTATAAATATAATACCTGCTTTTCACCATATTCTGCAGCTAATTCAGCTTTATTAAATCCAGTCAAAGCTCCGTAATGTCTTTCGTTTAGCCTCCATGATTCCTCTACTGGCAGAGTTGGCTGACCAATGTGATCAGTGATTATCTTTAAAGTCTGATGAGCTCTAGTCAACAGAGATGTATAAGCTTTGTCGAATTTATAATTTGATTGTTTCAACAATTCTGCGCATTCGAGAGCTTCGTTCGTACCTGATACAAGCCAACAAAATTATAAATTATTATTTTTAGATTAATTAAATTAATAAAACTACAACAATTAGAAAGTTAAAATGGTAACTTATAAAATGTATAACGTAAGAAACAATAATGTATACTGTTTAAAATAATTAATTATACTAAAGTAAACAATTAATTTTCATTTGTTTGTATTATACATACTATAAATATCAGATAAATATGAAAACCATAGTTAAACGAACATTTTTGAGTTTTTCAATTATTTTAGTTAGATAAATATGTTATGTGTTCATAAAATATGCAGGTAATATTAATTTGCTGTTATAATTTAAGAATTCATAATTATGAACAGGATAAATTATTTATAATACCAATATTTTACAATTAGTTCAAAGTTAGTATTATGGATGAATATTATTAAAACCATAATTTATCCTAATATGAGAAGACATATAATTGTAATTACCTCGATCAGACAAATGTGAGTCGTACCATCCACAAAACACATTGTTTTTAGACCATTCACTCTCGCCATGTCTGGCCATTACTACAATTCGTCTTCCCGTCATTTCTGAAATATTACAAAAATAAAATTGATGTTTTGTTAAATTTAAAATTAAATTAGCTAAAAAAATAATATAGCAATATATTTCGACATTTAACAACAAATGAATGTACAACAAGGGAATGATACACGACTTGACACAGCTTTTATTTAAGTCAAGTGACCTTCTTATAGGTAGGCAAAGATAATGATAATTTTTATTATGTGGCACTGTGAATATAGGTACATACATCAGCATATTTATTTTTTCTTTTAAACAACTACTTTATTGCACTAAGATAAACAAGAGATTCTACTTTTAACTTTCAGTTATGTAGAAGATTATATCATTATATCAATATTATTATTATTTAATAGTTAAATGTAGAACGAAATTAAAATTATAATAAATGTTCTATTTTTAACTAAATGTACTAATTCAATTATTATCATCATAAAATTGTATGTTGTTACATCTTACATATTTTCAACACCAGAATAAATTAAAATGAATCACTTTTTATACCAAAGAAGAACATAAAATACATAATAATAAAAATAATAATAATAATAATAATAAAATATAATTCATTTCCAATTTTTAAAATTAACTGTATTCTAATCAAGTTTTCAAACCAAAATAATTTATTTTTCGTTCTACTTTTTGAAGTGTTAAAAAACGGTTAATTCTGTTGTTAAATATTTTTCCGGTTAACTAAAACCAGTTTTTAAAATTTGACAACCAGTACATTTTAATGTTTAAATTTGTTTTTAATTATACCTTATAATATAGATACAAATTTTTACCTATATTTTAAATTTAATTTAATTAAAAATAAAGATAATATAAATATAGAATAAAACTCATTTATAAGTATTATACTATTATATTATACCTTTCTTAAGAATATACATCAGTCCCACAATACATATTATATCGTAAACTTGTACTCAAGATTTTGAAACAAAAAAGTTCCTCAAAATCATGAATAATCAATAATAAATATATTATAAAAACCAACTACTTTATAGAAATATATTTGCTCAGTTTCAAGTTATTAACATTTTATTGCAAAATAGACGAGGCATAAATACCTTAATAAAATTACCCTTTTTAATCATTATTAGTTAGAAAAAAAATATAAAATAGTCTTAAGATTCAAAATTCCTAAAAAAATATTTGTTGGGGATAATTTTTTCTAAATTATAAATTAATTAACTTATTAATTATTATAATTCTTGTTTAGTTAGTGTTATATTGTCGTTTTATAAAGCATATACAATTTTGGTTTCATTTTCAGCTATTTACAATTTGTTATTAAACCGGTTTTAGCCAATTTTAAGTACTAGTAAGTTTTAGTCATAGACTTCTCTTAAAATAATTATTTTCAAAAAAAGATAAAAACTTCTTTAACCAACTACACTCTTGTTTCAATAAGTATCTAAAATACCAAACAAGAATTTGCACTGATGCTTTTTTAAATAATTCTGTGTATAATTTGTATTCACATATTTCATTCCCTTGTTCATTCAAAATGTCCAATAAATAGTGTAAATTTCAAATATAATAAATTATATGTATAATTATAAATAATAATATATTCAAATATTATTATTAATTATTATCACTTCTATATAATATCGACAAAGCTTTACATTTTTTTAGCAATATACTGTAGGTTGTTTAAAATATAAGAACATAATATTTTACGGTAACAGGTTATAGGTAGGCTTTTCAGTGCAAAATAAGCATTTTTTAAAACAAAGAATTGCATATTATTATGGTCGTTGAGCATAAATTAATACTATTGATTACTATCCCACTAGCCCAGTGGCTAGTACACATTGATAGTACGTTTATAATAATTAAAGTCAAAAAAACGTTTCTAATTTGTAGAAATAAGCATAACTATAATTAATTATTGCAATTAGTACATTTTGTCAACCGAATTAAAACACAAATGTGTATATTTTGAATTTTTACTAGGGTCAAGAATTATGTAGATAATAAACAAAACGATAGCATTCTTAAATCAAAAAATTAATATCCCATGTAGAGCATAAGAATTGATTACATATAGGTAGGAAATAACTATTTCCTATATGCTTTTTTATTAGGTATGTAGAAATTTGCAAACTGCAGCAATTAGTTTTCTCGTGGGCCCCAAATCTCAACTATTGTAATGATTGAAATATAAAATTCAGAGTTTTTTCAATCTTCTATGAAATGTATAAAATGTAAATGTATTAAAACTACTAAAATACATAGTAAATTGTTTACTGAAATTCTCACAGCAAAGTAGAACAACATTTAATTTGAAGAATAAAAATTCTTATTATGAAAAAATTACCAACACACAAAACATAAAATGAATAATAAGTCGGTTCTAGTCAATCGAACACGATATTTTATAATAATTAATAAAATTAAACAATTTATATCATAAGACAGCAAACTTAATAAAAATTAAACACTAATTGTTGATCGGAAAATAATCCTATATTAAATCTGAAATATAATGAACCTGTTTTAATTATCGTTACTTAATATTACTTATATAAAATAAACATCATAAATATTGAATGATAAAATACATGGATGTTTTATCTTTTTAACATTTACATCATCATTTTTCTTAAAACGTATTTATACTACCTACTTCATTTTGTACTAACCTAACAAGTATTTTGCTACAAGCACACAAGAATTTTTAAATAATCTGACACGTCAATTAAAATTGTAAATTAAAGTTTTTTTACACGATGGGTAAAATCATTAAATCATGAATTAATTTATTAATTTTTATCAATTTATATATTCTTTGACATGTTATATCATTAATTACTATTGTACTAATACGTTAGAATAATATCCGTAAGTCAAAACAGAAAATATACATTTTTTTAAATAAATATATATAAAATAATATCCAAAACAATTAGTTAGTACTTTAATTATAAACATATTTTACTTCTTCGTTGAAATTAAATCGTTTAAATTTTGCTAAAATATGCAAAAATGCATAACAATTTAAAGAAAAAAAACTTTGTTAAATTATATAGTCGACTCGTTGAAAATAGCTTATGCTTTACAATAATGATTAAATATTTTTAGTACAATTTAGTGAATTTTTGTATTTTCAAAATATGTTTTCAGACGTTTTGGTTAGTATCATTATTCGTTAGTATCAATATCGAGGGTTAGGTTACGAGTCGTAACTAAAACGTTTGTATATTTATAGTTGTACACTTGTACATACTAATTACAAAAGGTTTATATGGTTAGGTATCACTATTATTATACCGTCTATGCATCCATTACCATTTTCGTAACGGTTTGTTGTGTAAATGTTAACAGAAAATGAACCTTCACAAAAACATATACCTAGGTATGTTAATTATTAAAATATGTTTTGTTTTTTTCTTTTGCATAAGATCATAATATGTATAACTCCATGAACAATTCAAATAAAAGCCCTTTACAAATTAGGACTTGGTATGTTATGTTCAAATGTCCCAACAGACTAAATTCGTAATTATAGAAATATTTATATAGAAAAAGTTTACGTATAAGTATTTGTCTATAAAACGAATTTTAATATCCATGTTCTCCGTACACCAGTAACGAGCTTATAGCTCAGTTGGTAAACGTACCAGCTATTATTAATGTAATTTATTGTAATTATTTGATCGTAATTGATTTGGCTGAAATAAATAAATAAATAAATAAATATAAATAATATCAAAAACTCGATACTAAGAAGTCAATGATAATTTTAAAAAAGTTGTCATAAATCAACGAAGGGAATAAGTACAAGCCATGTATAAATTATAATATATACTACTAACTAGCAATATAATTTGTGAGCTTGATAGTTGAGCGTATCCATCGTCATGATTTATACTAAAAAATATTCTAAAACAACAATGAAACATCTATTACGATAAATAATTAAAAAGAGTGAAAGTGAATAACATTTTCATCTAGCTTTTGACAGATTTTAAAACAAAAATGTAGACAGGTATTAACTTTAAAAAATTTTAAAAATTTATCTACATTATTCAAATAAAAAAAACATTAAGTACACCCCATACGAGTTCCGTACCGCATATAATAATAATAAAATAGACTTTTTTCTACATAGTATCTTCTAACGACTATCAAATCGTTTATAATTTTTTCGTATTGTTCATAATATTTCTGGTCATGCAATTTTTCAATCTTCTTGGAACTTCTGATCTCGAATGATCGTATAGCACTATAATGAAGGTATACATATAAGATATACATGTTCTGTTACTGCTAGACACTAAGAAACACACAATTACTGCAATAGTAAAATACTTTGGGAAAAAGATTAGGTAGGTATGTATATTATTGCTGAAAACTTTCTCAATCGGTCCGGAATCTATGCGAAGCTACAGAAACAATAGGCGAAGATGCGTCGATGAATATATATTTTATTTATATGAGTATCTAGTACACATCGTTATGCCATGTATTTAAATTTAAAAAACGAAGGTCATTATTGTGATCATCTATATAGGTAAATTCAAATAAAGATGAAAAGACGGAAAAGATTAAATGTTCGTACAATAGTGCACATTTTTAATATATTTTATATAAATTCACCAATCCGGCATCAACATTAAAACATCTGAAATTTTTTCTTAATAATTTATAGTTCTGAATTTATGTATATATTTTTGAAAACTTGTTTTCTGTCGAATACGAATTCTGAATGACCTTTTTTCTTAATGCAATTTCCAGATGTTATTGTTGTTATTTCCGATGCTGTATTATATATACAAACGATTGAATTGTTGTCAGTTGGAATGCTTTAAATGTAAAGGATACCACGGATGATTGTATGGGAACGAAAGCCGGTCTTGAAGTACGGAGTTAACTACAGTAATCAAGAGATGAGATAAATTAGCTGGCGTATTATTATAAGAGGAGTTCGAGGACGTTTGGAATTCCTCAGACTCGGGTTGAATGAATTACTGCAGTGTATTAAAAAAATTAT